CAAAAAAAATACAGTTAAAAAAAAAAAACCCAAACAAGAATTTAGGGTCTTTACTAATTAAAAACTAATGTGAAATATAAAGTGTATATCTGAATTAGAATTATAGTCTGGGAAAGACCTGCTGTATTACATGTTATACTCTGACCACGCTTTAAAATATTCCCTGTAATAACTATGCTGAACATTGACTTCAAGGCAATCTAGTTTAAACATTATGAAAACTTAAAAGTTAAAAAAAGCTAGAAAAAAAGGTTACTTACTCAAGTTGGTCATAATTAACACACATCAGTGGAACTTCTGTACTACAACGCTGGTGAAATTTATAACCACATGTTTGACAGCGGAAACCTTGGAAAAGCAGCTTTCGACAAAAGTCACAAAAAGCTAAGGTGAAAAAAGTTTTCCGTACCTGCAAAGTAAAAAATAATAGAGAACTTAAACAACCTACAAAAATCTTTTTAGAAATCAATGCATTTATTCTTATCTAAAGGAACTAAGTTTTAATGTTTATCATAAAAACTTGTACTAAAATATAAAAATGAAAAACAAGGGTTTGAGACAATAAATGGGCTATACATATGTATACCTCCCAGTGGGTGCTGGCGACTCATGCCTATAATCCTAGCTACTCAGGAGGCTGAGATCTGAGGATCGAAGTTCAAAGCTAGCCCAGGCAGGAAGGTCCTTGATACTCTTACCGCCAACAAACTACTCAGAAAAAGCTGGAAGTGGTGCTGTGGTTCAAGTGGTAGAGTACTAGCCTTGATTAAAAGAAGCTCAGGGACAGTGCCCAGGCCCAGAGTTCAAGACCCAGGACTGGCACCAGAAGGAAAAAAAAAAAAAGCAGCAAAAAAAAAAAACTACTTATAAAAATAAAACTGCCAGCCAGGTGCCGGTGGCTCACACCTGTAATCCTAGCTACTCAGGAGGCTGAGATCTGATGAGCACAGTTCAAAGCTAGCCTGGGCAGGAAAGGCTCTGAGGCTCTTATCTCCAATAAACCACTAGCAAACCAGAAGTGGCGCTGTGGCTCACGTGGTAGAGCACTTGCCTTGAGCTGAAGAGCGCAGGGACAGTGCCCAAGCCCAGAGTTCAAGCCCCACATCGGCAAAAAAAAAAAAAAGAAAAAAAATCAAACTGTCATATAACGGTACAAAAACTAGAACATTAATAACTAAAATAGCAAGCAGCATGGGCTGGGAAGGTGGTTCAGTGGTAGAGCACTTGCCTTGAGCTGAAGAGCGCAGGGACAGTGCCCAAGCCCAGAGTTCAAGCCCCACATCGGCAAAAAAAAAAAAAAGAAAAAAAATCAAACTGTCATATAACGGTACAAAAACTAGAACATTAATAACTAAAATAGCAAGCAGCATGGGCTGGGAAGGTGGTTCAGTGGTAGAGCACTTGCCTTGCATGCATGAGGCCCTGGGTTCAATTTTTCAGCACCACATAAGCAGAAAAAAAAAGCCGGAAGTGGTGCTATGGCTCAAGTGGTAGCGCGCTAGCTTTGAGCTGAAGAGCTGAGGGACAGCGCCCAGGCCCAGAGTTCAGGCCCCGCAATGAGACTCCCCCCTCCCCACAAAAAACAACAGCAAGCAGGAAAATCAACAAAAAGACAATAAGACCATTTATAAACTATCAATTTGAAGAATTAAAATATTCAGGCTCCCTAAACTTATTGTGAACATCTTGTTTCTTATACTTTTTGTTTTTTGGGGGTGGGGTGGGGAGGGATACACAAGTTTTATTTGGGCTGATTTTAAACTGAAAATTTTTCATCTCAAACTTCGAAGTCCTCATAGGTAGGCACTACCACATTTAGCTGTGAATTATTTGTTTAACTGCTGGTCCTGGGCACTGTCCCTGAGCTTTTATGCTCAAGGCTAGCATTCTACCACTTGAGAAACAGCTCCTCTTCCCCCTTCTGTGGTACTTAATTGGAGATAATAGTGCCAGCCTTTCTTGCTCAGACTGGCTCTGAACCACGATTCTCAGATCTCCTGAGTAGCTAGGATTACAAGTGTGAGCCACCAAGCACCCAGCTAAAAAACATATACAAATTCCATGAAGCAGGACATGGTGGCACATGGACGTAACCCTATCACCTGGGAAGCTGAGGCAGGATGATCACAGCCCTAAGCTAGCCTGATCTATATAGTGTGACCTGGTTTCCAAAAAAAAGGGGGGGGGGAGGGGGAATCACATCAACAGACATTATGGACACATCTATTAAAAGAATTGTGCTAAAGACAAATTGTTTAAAATATACTTGCTCTGGCAGGCTGCTGGTGGCGCACACCTGTAATCCTAGCTACTCAAGAGGCTGAGATTTGAGGATTGTGGTTAAAAGCCAGCTGGGGCAGACTCTTATCTCCAATTAACCTCCAGAAAACTGGAAGTAGCACTGTGGCTCAAGTGGTAGAGTGCTTACCTTGAACTGAAGAGCTCAGGGACAACGCCCAGGCCCTGAGTTCAAGCCCCATGACCGAAAAACAAAAAATATACTTGTTCTGGGTATATATTTAGCAGAAAACATAAGCTATATAAACAATACCACATTCTTAGCAATACCTATTTTAGTCTTGATGATACGATGACTTCTACTTCATTCTTTGTTGTATATTCTTAATCACTTCAATTTTCCAAATTTTAATATACAATAGTAATATATTTTTTTTTGAGGGGGGGGGTCCAGTCGTAGGGCCTGAACTCTGGGCCTGGGTACTGTCCCTCAGCTCTTCAACTCAAAGCTAGCGCTCTACCACTTCAGCCACAGCGTCACTTCCAGCTTTTTTTCATTTTTGCTTATGTGGTGCTGAGGAATCGAACCCAGGGCCTCATGCATTCAAGGCAAGCACTCTACCACTGAGCCACCTTCCCAGCCCCAAAATGTTACTTATTTTAAATTCTTTTTTTTTTTTTGGTCGGTCGTAGGGCCTGAACTCTGGGCCTGGGTGCTGTCCCTCAGCTCTTCAGCTCAAGGCTAGTGCTCTACCACTTGAGCCACAGTGCCACTTCCTAGTAATATATTTTATAACCTATTATATACCTATATTCACATAACAGTAATTACTCTGACCAAATATAATGTACTTCATGATACATTAGATTTATTTCAAAATCAAAACTATTTTCAGTAAAAAATTATTTACAGAAATAGTTATTGAAGTTAAGCATGATAGGTATAGTATACCTGTCCTTCTAGCACTTAGAAGACTGAGGCAGGAGAATCACAAGTTTTTGTTTTTTTCCAATCTTGGGGCTTGAACTCAGGGCACTGCCTTGAGCTTCTTCTGCTCAAGGCTAGCACTTGACCATGTGAGCCACAGCACCACTTCTGGCTTTTTCTGTTTATGTGGTACTGAGGAATTGAACCCAGTGCTTCATGAATGCTAGGTAAGCACTCTATTGCTAAGCCACATTCCCAGCCCCAATCATAAATCTGAGGCCAAAAAAAACACCAAGTTTCATCAAGAAAGTTCTATCCTGACAATCCATTCTGACTTTGTGAGAACATTTACATAGTTGTTTTTACAAGTGGCACTTATTTTCATACTCTTTTTTACTTTTTGTATATATTGCTAAGGCATATGCAAAGTCAAACACCTATTTTTTTAGCTTTGTTCCTTTTCTACTTGTCTTTGTTTATATAAGAAATGAAAAATGTATTCTGATTTTTCTTTTAGTTTGTTTTGTAGTACTAGGATTTCAACTCTGAAGACTCTTAACTCTTGTGCCATACATCCAGCCTAGTTTAATTTTAGACACAGTTTACTTTTCAGATAGGACTTTTGCCTGGGGTGAGACTTAAGACTGCCATCCTCCTGATCCTCCTACCTATGCTGGCATTATAGCTTGTACCATTATGCTTAGCGGAAAGTAACTTTTTTTAGTATTCTTCATATGGTCATTATTTACCAAACTAAGCATCTTTTATGGTGCTAGCAGAATTTCAGGAAACTGAGCATAGAAAAGCATAAAATGTTTTCAGTTTATCAGTAGCTTTAACTTATCTGATCCTTTGTGCTAATCACGCATAGTTTCAATCATCGGGTAATCTTTCCAGTTCCATGAAGCCCTCCACTTTTTTCATTAATTCAATTGCCTTTCTTCCTGTCATTGATCTACATTTTTAAACTGTATTAAGTGGGGGCTGGGAAGGCAGCTCAGTGGTAGAGGGCTTGCCTTGCATGCATGAGGCCCTGGGTTTGATTCCTTAGCACTACATAAAAGCAGGAAAAGCTGGAAGTGGTGCTATGGCTCAAGTGGTAGAGTGCTAGCCTTGAGATGAAGAGCTGAGGGACACCACCCAGGCCCGACAAAAAAACCCAAAAAACAAAAAAATTGTATTAATGGTTGGTTGTGTATGTGTTTATACACACATACACACGTATTACGAGAAAAAGGAAAAAAGAAAAGGAAAAGGGAAGTAAGTATGAAAGAGAGAAAAAACATTTAGGGACAAAGATATGTGGATAAGCACTTGCGTATTAATTTTAAGCAAAGTGTTTATACCTGTAAGAATATCTTCATCAATAAAATAGGGAACAGGAAAATCTATATTTCTTCTGGGTCACAACTGATGCTCTATTGGGGAATTGGTGTATATCTAATCAGTCATGGTAAATTGGTGGGAGCTGTATGCTGGGGACATTTAGCTTATACTTGGTTCTATTAAATGTAAAACACACATAAGGAAGACCACACAGAGTTCAATATCTAGCTACTCTACATTCTACTTCCATCACCCTATTTTTTTTTCTTTCTTCTTTTTCCTTTCTGTTGTTTGTGGGGCTTGAGCTCAGGGCTTGGCTTGAACTCTTTTTGCTCAAAGCTATACTCTACAACTTTGAGCCACAGCTCCACAACTGGTTTTCTGGTGAGTCTCATGGACTTTCTTGCCCAGGCTGGCTTTGAACCGCAATCCTCAGATTTCAGCCTCCTGAGTGGCTAAGATTGCAGGCGGGAGCCACCAGTGCGCTGCTCTATCACCTTATTCTTCAGAAACATTTATATAAATCTGTTGAGATTCAAGCAGACTATGTTTAATTTGCATGTTAAGATTTATTTTTAAATACAAAACTATGATGTCTTTAACTTTTATTTCCTGAGTGGGGAGCAGTAGATATTTCTATTTTTCCTACTTTACATGACTATACTAAAATAAATCCTTGTTAAAACTTCAAAAAAGAAAAAGAATAAAAGGGGGGACCCTCACAAAAATGTAAATATCTCTTAATGGAGGGAATAAAGGTATCAAATAAATTCCTATCCTTATAGATGATTGTACAATCATTACAAGACTAAAGCTAAGTAAACTGAGAATGTTCTGTTGAATAAAAAAGAAGGAAGGTAGGGGTATCATACAGCATTATTTTCATTTTCTATTTAAAAAAGGAAAATGAATGGAAAGTGATTAAGAAAGCACAAAGAAAACTTTGGGCTTAAAAGTATAAGCATACAGTGGGAGGGAAGGGATGGTAGAGGAAAAACAAAGGAGAAGGCAACAATACTTGATAAGAAATGTACTCATTACCTTACTCATGTAATTGTAACTGTACAGTATTTTCATAATAAACTTATTTTTTAAAAGTATAAGCATACTTTTGTGTATTCAGAAAAAACTGAGATTACAATAATCTATATAAATATAAACCTACATAAATTTATTAATTTATATAAATGTTGATCTCTAGAAGACTATTTCATTTTTTAAATTTTTGTATCATTCAGATTTTTTAGTAAACATCCATGGCTTTAAGTTACAACAAAAGTCTAATGATTAAAACTCTTTAGCTTCAAGTTTTAGAGAATAGAATTTTAAAGTAACATGTCAATTACCATATTATTCACTCATATTTCATATCTCCTAAACAAAAACACATTCATAAGACCTGAGTATTTTCTGACATTTCCAAAGTATAAAGGTACATACAAAGTTGTGTGTTGTGAGCGGAACATTCTCCAACACTTCTACATGCAACTCCTCCCCAGTAAGCCAGGAAATATCAGTATCCCAACCAATAGGCTTCTTCTCTCTGAAAAATGGAGACATAAGCGCTTCTTAGTTATCATATGAAAGCACATTACATACCTCATGCTGGAGACGTGAAAATTGGTTATTGAGGGGCTAGTAATAGGGAGGTTTGGGTCCCTAGTCTTCCATCGTTAGAAATTTAAGTGGCAATAAATTTTTAAGTTTACCCCAAATAAATGTATCACTCTTGGACAAACAGCAGGGTAAAGAGATGTACTCTTTTCTTCAAGTCAGCTCCAGAAAAGACCTACAACAGCAGAAAATGGATTTTTCCTGGGGTCAAACCCCCTCCCCCCAAAAAAACAAAAACAAAAACAAAACTACCGGTACAGATTTATCTATCCATTTAGAGAAAAAGAGTACTCAAGGGACATGTTCTGAGACATGATTCAAAATGTGGTTTCAAAAATTTGGAAAGTGAGCCAGGCGTGGTGGCTCACACCTGTAATCCTAGCTACTTAAGAGGCTGAGATGGGCTGGGAAGGTGGCTCAAGTGGTAGAGCACTAGCCTTGAGCTGAAGAGCTGAGGGACAGCACAAAAAAAAAAAAAAAGAGGCTAAGATCTGAGGATAGCGGTTCAAAACCAGCCCACAGGAAAGTCCATGAGACTTTCCAATAAACCACCAGAAAACTGGAAGTGGTGCTGTGGCCTTGAGCTGCAGAGCTTAGAGACAGCACCCAGGCCCAGAGTTCAGGCCAACCATCACCACCACCAACAAAAAAAATCTGTCAAGTCTTGGAACAATGTTAGATACTTTCTAAAAGAAAAACAGCTCAATAGAAAAGCCACTTTTTTAATCAATCCTTTGAAGCTATGAGTTTGTATTAAAAATGAGAAAGCTCTGGTATGGCTGTATTATCCAAATATTTAAAGTTTTCAAAAATAGCAAAACTGCAAACTCCAGAAAAGTATTTGCTCAGAGTAACAGTATAGTCAGACAAAGTCATTAACAGCTTGTAAGATTTCTTCAGGCTAACTTAGGATGGATTTTTATTTTTGAAGTTGATTTTCAATTCTTAGGTTTAGAAAAAGTTCCTACAAAAACCCCAAAGTTTAATGTCTGATGGTTTTATCTTTATACACAAAATTCACAACACATACAAACCATACCCATCCTGAATTCTGTAAACAGCACAGCACTCTGGGATAAGACCTCTCATCATGAGTGCTTTCTTTAGGCTGTCTCGGACTGTAACTCCACATCTTGCAGGTACCTATGGTAGTATAAATACAGATAAGAGATATAGAAAATAGATTTTTTACTTCTAAATCATTTTTAACTCAGCAATTTATCTTTAGTAAACTTTAATTATCACATGGATTATTATGACAAGTTGTGGGGTTTTTTCTTTTTGGTAATGTGGCTTGACCTCAGGGACTGAGTGCTGTCTCTGAGCTTTTTTTTGCTCAAAACTAGGGCTCTACCACTTTGTGCCACAGGGCCACTTCTGGTTTTCTGAGGTTAATTGGAAGTTAGAGTCTCACATGGACTTTCCTGTCCGGGCTGACTTCAAACATCAATCCTCAGATCTCAACCTCCTGAGTAGCTAGGATTACAGGTTTGAGTCACCAGAACCCAGCTATGCCAAGTTTAACATCATTTCTATAACTCATTTAAAGGAAAACCAGAGTCAAATATCTATTATTTTGCCAACACAAACCAAAATTTTTTGTCTTTTATTAAAATTTGAAATATTTTGTATATAAAAAGTAGGAAATGTAATAGTACCTTACTATCACCCCCCAACATAATATACCTATCACTGAGAAATAGTTGTCAACATTTAAAGCCAATTTTGATCCAACATTGTTCAAAGCTGCAATCCTTCAATCACAATAATGGTCCTTAGGAGACATCTACCTGACATTAAAGAAAATATTTGTCTTCTGAGCATAATTGATACTTACTGTTTAGTTGTCTAGATCCCTATTTCCTCTGAGAACCACCCTTTTCTAGAAACCCACTAGGTACTAGAAAACTATCAACCAAGGCTTACGGTTTTTTGGGCAAATCATCTAATTAGTTTCCAATATCCCTAGCTACAGCAACTGGCCTAGGTCTACATAAGCCTAAACAATATCAAGTTCTTTTCTATACCCAAACGCTGACTGAGACAAGTTACTGTGCCTATTGTGGTTACAGTATGCCATTAAAATCTGGAGCCCCCAAAACACCAGTTAAAGAATGAACCTAATACAGGGACAAGTACCATCAGTAACAGGAATGGGAAGGACAAGGTAAACAACAACAACAAAAAGATAGTTATCTGTTTAGCTTTTCTGAAGCCTCGTGTCCCCATGTGAATTTGATATGGACTGAAGAGGGACAGTGGCAACACAGCAGGAATAGTTTTTATTGGGGGAAGTGACAGGAGGAGAGGATGTTTTAATAATTATAGTAACAATCACCTCATTATTCAATCACCTTAAAAGTTCTTTTTTTTGGTCCAGTCGTGGGACTTGAACTCTGGGCCTGGACACTGTCCCTGAGCTCTTCAGCTCAAGGCTAGCACCACTTCCGGCTTTTTTTTCTTTTTTGCTTATGTGGTGCTGAGGAATCAAACCCAGGGCCTCATGCATGCAAGGCAAATGCTCAACCACTGAGCCACCTTCTCAGCCCAACCTTAAAAGTTCTTAAAGCAACTTAAAAGTTTCTGAAGAAATTTGTAATTTTCATGTTTGAGGGGGAAAATGAAATAAAGGCAGTTCAATTTTAATAGTTATTAAAAGGGAAAGAATTCAAAAAGACTAATGCAAACCTGTGATTAGAAACAAAAGGAGGTAGGTGCCAATCGCTCACCTCCATCATCCCGGTTACTCAGGAAGGTAAGACACAGAGGATCTCAGGTCAAACCCAACCCAGGTAGAAAAGTGCATGAGATTCTATCTCTAAAACTGAACAGCAAAAAGCTGGGCTGGAGTTACGAACGCCAGCTAAGCAAGCAAGCCAAGAAAGCCCAAGGTCTGAGTTCAAAACTTTGGTATTAGCAAGAAAAAAAATATTAACAGGAGTCATATTTTAGTCCAATATATCCATTAAGACTAGGTACCACCAGACACTACACTAGTGGCTCATGTCTGTCATACTAACTATTCAGGAGGCTGAGATCTGAGGATTGTGGTTAGAAACCAGCTTGGGCAGGAAATCCTGTAAAACTATTTTTCTTTTCTTTTGTCTGTTGTGGAACCTGAACTCTAGGCCTGGGCTATCTTCCAGCTCTTCAGCTCAAGGCAAGTTCCCTTCCACTGGAGCCACAGCACCACTTCTGGTTTTTTGGTGTTAACTGGAGATAAGAGTCTCAAAGACTTTCTTGCCTGGGCTGGCAGATCTCAGCCTCCTGAATAGCTAGGATTATGGGTGTGAGCTACTAGTGCCAGGCTTGCTGAGACTCTTATCTCCAATTAATTACCAAAAAAGCCAGAGGCGGAGATGTGGCTGCTCAAGTGGCAGGCCACTAATCTTGAGCAAAAGAGCTCAGGGACAGTGCCCAGGCCCTGAGTTCAGGCCTCATGACCCAAAACAAAAATAAAAAAAGTATTTAAGAAGTGACTGAAAAAGCCAGGTGCCCATGATTCAAGCCTGTAATCCTAGCAACTCAGGAGGCTAAGATCTGAGGATCCAGGTTCAAAGCCAACCTGGGCAGGAAAGTCTGTGAGACTCTTATCTCCAATAAACAACCAGAAAACTAGAAGTGGTGCTGTGGCTCAAGTGGTGGAGCATTTGCCTTGAGCTGAAGAGCGCAAGGACAATGCCCAGGCCTAGAGTTCAAGCCCCACAACCGACCAAAAAAAAAAAAAAAGGCTATAATATGTCTGGCAAAGGAAGTTCATGTATTAAGAAAGCTATGATAGTATCAGCCAAATGAAAAAATATACATATATATTAAATAAAAACATAAAAATGATGTTACGTAGTGACTGATAAAAATGTACTCTCAATGCAAAGGATCTGGGGGCTGGGCAAGGAGAAAGATATGACCACGAGACAGCTTTACTTGGATGATACCTCTGATAGGTTGTGTATAGTCCTTTCCAGTCTGAGACCAGACTATCCAGAGGGTAAGGTAGGGGGACAAGGGAACTCCCAGAGGGAGAGGATTGAAGAAGAGGGTGCTTATTACATGTGTCACTAAAATTGCTCAACAGACTAGCAGGGTGCCTTCACATGAAAGAGCTTTAAGTCTTTACAGAAGTCAGGGAAAATGCAATTTTATGGAGCTTGTAAACTGAAAATGTGCATATCAGGAGTGTATTTAAAACCAAACAAAAACTGTAATTTCTAGAAATACTGAACTGAAGGTAAAAGCTCTCTCCTCTGTCACTCATCTTGTACCTAGAACTCATAAAAACTTCCTAATTGGGAGGTAATTCTTATCTTTACTTTTAAACTTTTTTTTTTGTTTTTTTTGGGGGGGATCCGGTCGTGGGGCCTGAACTCTGGGCCTGGGCACTGTCCCTCAGCTCTTCAGCTCAAGGCTAGCACTCTACCACTTGAGCCACAGCGCCACTTCCGGCATTTTTCTCTTTGCTTATGTGGTGCTGAGGAATCGAACCCAGGGCAAGCACTCTACCACTGAGCCACCTTCCCAGCCCTTTACTTTTAAATTAAACCCAATCATTCTACCCTATGTTTCCAGAGAGATCTTTGTAAAAAGGTATCTTAACTTGTTGTTTCAGAGACTTGTGAGAATCAGATGAAAGCTTCAGATGTGCTCTAAAACAAAACATTTTGGAGGATTCATGTTACCTGAATACCATGTCCCAGACTGCTAAGAAGTCCCACTGAGTTCCCATTGTATTACAGAGAGTATAGATAAAAATTAGTTTTCTAACTCAGGGCTTGTGTTTCCCAGATCTTTAGTTGTTCTATCCCTTTATTTCTATTCCTTCCCAGAATTTCTTTGAAGCATATAATTAAACTGTTCATTCCATATTTCAAACCACTTAATTTATTTTTTATTTTCTATTCCTTTAATCTATGTTATTTTTTGACTCTGTTATGGAAAATTCTCATTAAATTTCAGAAACTTTGAAAAAATAGTATAATTACAATATAAATTTATTCTTTTTGATTCTAAAATTATTATTTTTTTCATACTTGCTTTCTCTTTCTCTACATTCAGTTATTCATAGTGTTATGTGTAAACAAGTTGTTTCAAAGTAATTGACTGAGATAGATGGCCAAAAAAAGTCAAGAATATTTATTATTTTGTTTCTGGAGGAACTGGGTTTTGAACTTGTTAGGTAGGCACTCAACTGTTGAACCAGGCCTCCTGCTCATAGTCACTCTTGAATTAGAGGGGATAAAGAGGAATTCCTTCAAGCATTAGAAATGTTTTGTATCTTAATCTGTAAGGCAATATTGTATGTTAAAAATCACGAACCTGTACCCTTGAGAGTCATACACTTTACTAGGTTGAAGTTGCAGTCATCATGATGCTTCACCCCTAAATATTTAACGGTGTATTTCCTAAGACAAAGGACATTCTTCACGTGATTACCATTAGCACACTTAAGAAATTTAACAGTGTCATGCTGGGAAGATGGCTCAGTGGTAGAGTGCTTGCCTTGCATGCATGAGGCCCTGGGTTCGATTCCTCAGCACCACATAAGAAAAAAGAAAAAAGCTGGAAGTGGTGCTGTGGCTCAAGTGGTAGAGCACTAGCCTTGAGCTGAAGAGCTGAGGGACAGTGCCCAGGCCCAGAGTTCAGGCCCCACGACCGGATCCCCCCCCCCCCCCCAAAAAAAAGAAAGAAATTTAACAGTGTCATAACACCAAATATTCTATCAATATTCCAAGTTTCTCATCTCAAGAATTCCTTTGATAATTCTTAACTCAATACCAAAACAAGATTATACATAGCATATGGTTTTGTTTACAGAAGACCTCCCAACCAACCCTGTTATCCTCTATGACGTTTACTCTATGAGAGACCAGGCCTTCTGAGTTTGTCTATTTGCTTCCTAATGGTACTTAATATTTCTTATAAAATGGAACGTTTATAAACCTGACATTCAGTGCAATCATTTCTTGCAAGAATACTTCCTAGATGGTGTCATCCACTAAGTTTGAAATTTCAAGATTATTTAGAATCTCTATTTGGTTCCTTAGGAATGTAATTCTTCTGTTCTTAAAGTTTTCTAACTCACGAGATAGACTGTTTCTTTTTCTTTTCTTTTTTGTTTTTGGTCAGTCTTGGGGCTTGAACTCAGG